GGGTTTCAGTACGAGAAGAAGTACAATGTCWAGTAGAATGAGGATATTAAATGCGAAAATGCAATTACCACTACATCAGTCATATGCCATATGATATACCAAGATATACGTCTACGGAAATTCTACGATCGTTTCAACTGTTTACTTTCATATGAAAATCACAGAGGCTTTAATACCATCAGTCAAGACAGTCCAAACGCTTTGTATTTTATTAAATCCAACGTAGCTTCTTTAATTTAATTTTGTTTCTTCTTGCAGCTCCTAAACGAGCAACAACTGAACCACCAAGTATGTGATGATATAATTATATTACGTCTTATTCTCTATCGTCCTTTTTTACAATAARATATAATGCAGGGAATTTAGATTTGACAACGAGTGTACGGGTTTCACTACGAGTCCATTTTTTAAAGGATTTTAGTAAGTTCTTGATGCTAGGTTTAACTTCACCGTTCCACTTTTTTAAACTACTGAAATTGTTTACACTAATAATTAATAGAATTGACCAACAATAGTTGAGTTTCGCGATCTCTTTTACGCTGTGTTATCTTTAAATTTAGATAAAACTCGTGAGATTTCAAACAAATTGTCTTCTATACTCATGGATCTCTTGCATTTGCACGGGTTTTTAGTGAATAAAAGAGTTTATTACTATGGTTTTAAGCTAACACAGTGTGAAGAGATCGCTAAAAGGGTTTATTAAAACAACTGTCATGATATGCCATTGTATAATCTCGATGAATCAAAAGTTCGAGGCAAACAATTTATAGCGGAGCTTCCTTGCTGGCCGAAGGCCCGCGCGATCGGAATACCATATAGCTTAGAGAAAATGGAAAATCCATCAAGTCCATTTTTCATGGATCGACATAGGGCTCCCGCGCGTACGCACGTTTCTGTCCTTCTTTCCTTCCGTCCTTCCGTYTGTGTACCATCACAGGAAATCCATATCTAGTTTAAAGAAATTCTTTGAGCGTGCCAAAGGTCAAKTCAAGTAGTAAGGAGCGTAGCAAGTCAAAAAGTACTTCAGCCCCAGTAACGATTTTGTTATATTTGGACCAGGTTGCTTGCTATTTCTTGCTTATTGCTTGCTACCTTCTACTGAATAAACATGATGGTCTCAGCGCAATATGAATGTCTTCTTATTGACACTCTCTAATCAGCCAATAGGCGCTCAAAAATTCTCACAAATACAATGTCAATTAGGATGAGGATATAAAACGCGAAAATGCAATCACCACTACATCATTCATATGATATACCAAAAAGATACAGCTATTTCAAAAAACTTTGTCGGGGAGAAAGGCGAACGGCGATTGTCAAAGGGAGATTGCACGACCGAAAGGAACTATGGTTACACTGTTTTGATAAACAAAGTATCACCCATTGGATTCACATTACATTGAAAAGGAGACTAAATAGAGCCAATGTTTAGCACAGACCATCTTGCAGTACAAATCAGTTGTTATTGCCTTTCAACTAGCAAACCCAAGACTACTTTCGGTCGTGCAATCGCCGTTCGACCATTGGCATTCGCCATTTTATCCGACAACCTTTTTTGAAATAGCTATATACGTCTACGGAAATTCTACGATCGTGCGTTTGAACTGTTTAGTTTCATATGAATATCATATGGAGGCTTATTTAAATACCATCAGTCAAGACAGTCCAAACGCTTTGTATTTTATTAAATCCAACGCAGCTTCATTTTGTTTCTTCTTGCAGCTCCTGAACCAGCAACAACTGAACCACCAAGTAAGTGATGATATAATTATATTACGTCTTATTCTCTGTCGTCCTTTTTTACGAATAAGATTTAAACCATTGCAATCTCACTCTAAGTTTATCTTTCTCCCTCTTGTCGTGTTCGACAGTGCATTTCTTTTTATMTCCACCATTTAATAGTAGCCAAAGAATTGAGTTGATCATCAAACATATGAGATATGAGTTGACCATCAACTTTTTTTATATAACAATGATAATAGAGAAGTTATCTAGTACAGATATACACAAGCCATTTAGAGACCTCTGAGATAGAGGACCGGTGAGACACGAGGCTAAGTAGGCTACCAGGAATTAATTTTTACATTTTGGAAGACATGGAGTCTTTTGAACATTAAATTGCGAGATTAACATGTTCACCTACCCGTATCTGTACACCGTAACGGTGCGTCTTAATTTTTGTAGTAATGTAATTCGATTCTTTTGTTTCTTCTTAGCTCCTGCACAGAGGAGTCATACACAAAGTATGTAAAAGTATGTGGTTGGTGTCGCTTTAGTGTCTTAGATATTTCAGTACTATAATGGATGGGTTACAGATGGGTTCAGTACAACTTAGGCCTTCTGGGAATACAGTGTTCGTCTCAATTTGGAGACTAACCCTAACTCTTTCCCTCTCCTTATACTAAAACTCATGCTACCTAGTTTATTGTCTGTTTTGTTTATTGTCTTATATCATTATTTGCATTTTGTCACTCGAGGATAATTTTTTTGTTTATTCTTCTCAGATCCCGAACCAGCAACAAATCAAACAAAAAGTATGTAATAATAGACACGAAGGAGTCTTGTTCTCTTTTGTCTTGGTTAACAATTCATTTTTATTTCATCGTTTATAAAGGGGAAACACTTATACATATTGGTACTTATTCATCTGTTTGCATGATGGCATTAGTACTGATTTTATCACAACTAGACAGGAACTACCAATTTGTCTTCCCTTTGAATATAAAGTAAAACAATGGACTATTCTTCAAATTCCAGTACAGCCTACAGGCTAAAGCGTGGATTTCACTAGCGCATAAGCATAGCATAAGCACAAGCATGAGAATCTTATGCGTCAGTGAAAACGGGCTTGACATAAGCATAAGACATTGAGCATGCGCACGAGCGTATTATTTCGGTACCTACCATGCTTATGCCTATGCAGTCCCATTCTCACTAAGCATAAGCATGAGATAAGCACAAGAAGATCAAGCCTTGCTCGTTTTTCTTGTGCTCATGCTTATGCTTATTTTGAGCCCGTTCTCACTGGCGCATATGACTCTCGTGGTTCGTAGTATCGTGCCTATGCTTATGCGCTAGTGAAATCCACGCTTAAGCGTGAATTAATTTCTAAGAAAGAAAACAATAGACTAAACAATCACATAGATTCGAGGCTATTCCTGCGCCTGTACTAGATTTTAAGAATACTTTTGTATGAAACGGTCAAATGCTACTTAATCCACCATGCTGGATGGCAAAATACCCACTGGGATGTTCAAAAACAAAGAAAATTCAAGTTTGACGAGCTACGTTCCTTTTGTTTTTGTGTTTTTTTTTTTGTCATCCAGTATGGCGGATTTAGTACCATGTGACCGTTTCTTGCAAAATGCCTGCTATAGGGACTGATTACTTTAAAAAGAAAGTAAGCAAAGCATTCTGGTATTTGTTTTTTTTTGTGGTTATATATTAACATCCAAACAACCGGCAGCGYAYCTTTYACCTATTGTTCTACGAGGTCGACTTGTGTATTATACATACGTACTGTGTTTTCGACGTATACTATCAATAAATTGTCTTTACCAAAATCATAAAAAAATCTAGTTTTTTTATCCAAATATAAAGAGTAGCCAATCAGTGCGCATGCGATTGCAAGAAACCGTGACCAATCCTAGTTTATGACGTTAACATCTTAAAAATCTTCCTGGGCTGGTTGTACGAAGGGTGGGTAAAAGTATTCTCAAGATAGATTTTGTATATGGATTTTTATCAGCTGGATAAGGGATTTAACTGGTGGATACACCCTTCGTACAACCCACCCGGCTCATGATGCCGATAGTCTCATTCACGGTTACCTGTGCCATCTTGAAAAGTAGCCGTGCTTTTACATCGAAGCGAGACAAAGCGTGCAGTATTTCTGAAATACAAAATCAGGGTCGTGCTTTGTGGTCTAGCTTCAGTGCTAACAATACCTTATTTGGCAGCATGAACAAAAGATGTTTGTACTGAATCTAGACCACAATGCAATGTGTAATGCTTTTTCAGAAAAGGCCTAAACTAGAAACCTTTGAATAATTGTCGTTAGGTGTGAAAAGAAGGTTTCTATTATTGGACGCTCAATGGTCGTCTCGCTTCGATGTAAAGGCACGGTTACCTTTCAAGATGGCGCAGGGAACCGTGAAGAAGACTATTTTAGTTATAATACTAGTATATGATTGACTAAAATGAATTGTTTTCATTAGATCAAGGGATACGATGTGCAAAATTGAACTGTTTTAATGGCGGCTCTAGAGTGTGTACAAGTGATAGTCAAGCTATGTGCATTTGTCCTCGTGGAATCACAGGTCGACAATGTCAACATAGTAGGTGCTTTATTCTACATATCTATTATTGAAAGGGCCTTGGTCTACAAGAACTCAGTGCGGTCGTGTTATTTTTAGTGTNTCTACTCGCCGATTTCTGCAGTGAGCGGATCCCTCAAGAATTCTAGAATGAACTGGATCTACTCCCGTAGGCGGTCTAGGGGTCAACACTGCCGATGACGGCAGGACGGAAGGACATTTTTCAAATAAATCATCAAAACAAAGCAAATACCGACCCACCACAGCTATCCCAGTTTGTGAAACCGTTGAGTTCACGTTTCGAGCGCCATTTTGAATAGATAAGCCACGTGATCAAAACCTCCAAAAATCTTGGAGGTTTTGATCACGTGATTCCAGCCAACGCCAGGGTCATCTCCCCGACGACCGCCATCTTGAAAAGGAGTCGGCCGAGATGGCCCTGGGGACGAGGTTGGCTTCGATGTAAAGGCACGGTTACCTTTCAAGATGGCGCAGGGAACCGTGAAGAAGACTATTTTAGTTATAATACTAGTATATGATTGACTAAAATGAATTGTTTTCATTAGATCAAGGGATACGATGTGCAAAATTGAACTGTTTTAATGGCGGCTCTAGAGTGTGTACAAGTGATAGTCAAGCTATGTGCATTTGTCCTCGTGGAATCACAGGTCGACAATGTCAACATAGTAGGTGCTTTATTCTACATATATATTATTGAAAGGGCCTTGGTCTACAAGAACTCAGTGCGGTCGTGTTATTTTTAGTGTGTGAAAAATTGAGGTGCCTTCAAATATCCATTCGCAATCGCTATATCTCCACACAGCATAAAATCAGATGTTCTTTAAATTTTCTTTTAAAGGAAAATGTATTTGAATTTTTAAGATATGCCCAAGATCACTGAGCAAATGACTTAGTTTGCTTGCCAAAATTTGCAGCGGCGCGATATGCGTGGTCCTGGAGCGATGCACGTCATCGAGGTTGAATTCCGAATCATCGCTTCCTGGATAACTTTCTTAACTGGCATTGGCCGTTCTTGACAGTTTTTTTTTTTCGAAAAAAACAACAACTTTTGAATAGCAAAAAGGTTGACAATAAACATGTCCCTAATATTGTGTTTTGTCTCTTACCCCGATGAAGTATTCGCATATTGAAGATCGTCAACGACTGAAACGCCCAAACCTTCCCTGGCTGCCTTCTTTTAGATTAAGGGGAGGCCTCTTCAAGCCGTCAACTTTACTGGTCAAATTTGATTAATCTTATAGTTAAAGATTAATCGATTTCATCAATTATCGAACACGGCTTAATTTGAGGTACTCCATACACTATGGCTCTGTCTGTGTCTCATTGATTTTATAGGAATAGCAAACGAGCTCGGAGTCGGGGCAGCGAGGTGGAAAAATCGTAATGTTACTATAGTTTATAAGGCATTGAGTGATGTAATTGAGGTTTTATAAATATATAATATGTTTTGCTGCATGATTGCTAACGTTTCATGCATGTTGTTTTCACTAGAGGACACATGGTGYGCTGAAATTGAGTGCTTTAATGGCGGCACTCGAGTGTGTACAAGTGGTGGGCAAGCTATGTGCATTTGTCCTCGTGGATTTAAAGGTCRTCAGTGTTTAAGCAGTGAGTTCTCAATACTTAAAATTGAAGTTTTCCKCATTGATTTCGCAACCGCTTCCAAGTAACAATGATAATGTTATGAATAACGTGATAATGATAATGATAGTACTCAAAATTTCTATTCTACTAAATCAAACTAAAAATTCTAAATATATACTACTCGTAATTTCAGAAGAGACGATTCCAGAGAAGAGAACCGCACAAGCGATAGACGCACAAGAGCAGCAAAAATGTAAGCTACTGACAGAGAAATGATCTCCTAGCTAGTTCACCTTTAGGGAACCCTTACCACGCGTCAACACGCATGTCAATGAATACCCACTCATAGCTACTCATTTAATGCTATTTGGTTGTTTACTATTCATTTCTTGCCTGTAAAGCAAATAGAAGTCTTTTTTGTGTCATTTACCCCGACTTTATTAAAATGCTTATAGTGCAAAAACATATGAATGTTGTAAGGTGACGTCATAATTCAATAGACCAATCGCATGATCATTTCGTGTATTCCATAGATAARACAGGCAAGACGCTCAATTATGTTTCCATTGTGGTTATTGTGGCACTAATTGGAGTCATCATTGCTTTGGTACTTCGCAATCAGCACTTGAAAAACCGCATTATAAGTATGTGTAACTCTGTTTTCGTCGATTTGAACTTATATCTTTTTCTATACAATATCTAGAGTGAAGTCAAAAAACCCGTGATATTAAACTAATACACCTTAGTCAATGTGCATTTCACGGCTTTAATGATCAACCTCCCTCTAATACAATAATGATTGTATTAGAGGGACACTCAATGAYTGTATAGTTTTCCTATGTGTCTTTTTGACTATCACATAGTCAAGTTCTTGTTTCACGTGTTAAATGACTTCACTCTATTTCATGGTTTAATTTTCTGACTTCAACACATAAACACTTAACTTAACTGAATCTATTCAGTACAATCTAGCACTATTGAATTCAACTGATTCTATTAAATCGTGGTTTTTAGTGCTTGTGCTCTATTTACGGCATAACTAATTTATTAAGATCTATATTTGTACTTTTACAGATTGTTACAGCAAAGTGAAAAGGTATCGAGCCAAGTTTTGAAGTGTAATTGTTTTCATTTCTACTAAACTTGTAACATCTCGAATAATCCGCCGACCGAGAACCGTGCGCTTTTGTCAATTGCCTGCATACCAGCGCATATCAGCGCGCGGACCTTTCTCCTCCACCAAGTATTTTCCCGGTTTTGATAATGGCAGACACATCGACACATGTTGTGTATGCTACTCATTTTCTCGATAAAAGTACAACAGGAGTATAAACAGCAGAAAAAAAAAAACGTTTATACTGATATGTAAAAAAGTTATACGTCGCCCAAAAAGGGGGGTGGGGATGCGTCCGCACCCAAAGCACCTTCCCTGGATTGGCCCCTGCATACAACAATCATACTCTGCAAGATTGGCAGTAGTGTGTCTTGCCTTACCAAAAAGCTTTTTTATTAAATWAATTACTCATGATTTACAGGTATTTCAATGGTACCCCATCTGATATTGCTGTACAGGTAAGGTAACATTCTGATCATCAGTTAAAGAAGAATGTCCATTCTCATGAAACATGGGAAGGGGCAGGTCGCACTGAGATCAAAATATGATTTGATAGATGTCTCTTGTTAGAGCTTCGACCAACTTGTATGAATTTTTCATAAAATTCAACAAACATTTTATTCAATCATATTGTTTAAAGATTTTTTCTCGTTTGTAGAGCACTTCCGCTTATCAGGCTTTTCATTGCGAAAACCCAATGAGTGACATACCTATCAGTRCTCATTCATCGGAATACCAATCAGCTAACCACCTTCAGCGACAAAATCCTTCCACTCATCATCAACAACAAGGAGTTACCTTTAAGGAGCTAACCCCTAAAGATCTTCAGTCAGGAAATTCAACTCACCAGTCACTTGGAAATGATGCAAGCGACCCGACATACCAACAAGTGGTTTTCCATGGGAATCCAACTCAGACAGAGTCTCAGATTTAATCGTTTAGCTTCGTTTTAGGAAAACTAGTTAGTGCATACAGCAGCGATCACTTGCAAAATATCATATTGCATGATAGTATTTTGTAACCAATGCACGAGAAGATAAACTAAACTAAACTTAAAAACAAAATAATTAGATAAACCTAACATTTTATAAGCTTRGATTTTTGATTACAAACCAGTTCACATTTTTTCTCATTTTTTTTTCAATTTTGAAGCTGTGTGGAATAAATAGATTTAAATAAAYAATAGTTGAAGATCAATAAAATAGTCCAGAATATATATTATGCAACATATGTCCAAGTTCAGCAATATGGCTGGCTTCCCAACCGCGRGCTATCCTTAATAGTTATAGGTTTGAGAAACAGCGTCCTTTGAAAAGCTTTTTGGGGACGAACGACTCCATTGCTGCCAAATAGTGCATAAAAGCCCTTGCGACCTTCGACGTTATACTGTATATTCGTCGCCCTTTTTGAAGACTTTAATAGTAACATTCAAGTGCATGATGTCTTCTTTTGTTTGTCAACAAACACTTACATCCAAAGTGCATATACATGTCCGTGTATGGGATCCCATCAGGGTTAGGGTTAGGACTAGATTTAGCCRGTTAAAAAATAGCAAACTCATAGCTCTCTTTCGGTTGATCGTGCAATCTGCACTCGCCATTTTTTTGTTCTTTTAATAAGCATTTTTTTTTATTCATTTACTGTATCGCAAAAAAATAATTTATGCATCTAAGGATGGAATTTTTTTCGCACTACTTTGAATTCAGTATGGTCAAAAATGTTTCCCTAAGAATTATTACAATCACCAACAACACTTTTTTCTGTATTAGTTCGCACAAATTACAACTAGACAGATAATGGTCGAAATACTGCTTCCCGAAAGAAATGCTTGGAGATATCAACCTAGCTAAGTGGGCTCCCTGTGTTATTTTCGTGCGTGCAAAGATTTCTGGTAACAAAATATGTCTTGACGAGTTAAAAATATTGAGTTACATGCCTGTATTAAGTCACCTGAGCAAGTGGGATAGAAAAGATTCTGTGTGCTTTTTATGACCATTATGGCAAYATTACAGTGGCGAATAGTGCTGATTTTCCTGTTACACAGCAGTTTTGGAATTATGCTTGAAATTTCAGGAATCAAAAGTGCTGAACACATATCCTCATGGCCTTCACCACCGCCATATCAAAACAAGGCAGCCATGGGTAAAGTTATAACTCAATATCTAAGATCATATAATATGGTCATTTGTCAAAACTATTAATATGCCTGCCAATTAGTCCTAGCTATAGCGATGAGCAAATCTGAATGCATTAAAAAGTAGCACTTAGTCTTTAATAGTTAACTGACTTTTGGCTGAAAAATTAAGCTTAGTAAGTTAGTTAACTGACTTTTTGGCCAAACAATAGTAGTTAACTGACTAATGACAATCGTATATTTAACTGACTTTCTTACTAAACATTTAATTCAGGCGCGTAGAGTCTTTACGCATATACGCACGTGCGTACCAGTGGCAAGGAAATATTAAATTTTTTGGTTTTCGATGCCTTTTATCAGAAACCTACAAGTCCCTTATAGGTTTCTGCTTTTATATGCTCTCAATGCCCGTCAAAACGCTGGAAATCCCATTTTCCAAGAGTTATTATCTGAAACTTTCCTGGGGAAGGACACCCCAATCCCCCAGGTTGTTATAGCCCCCCAATCCAAAATGTGTCGCGTTCCCTGTCATGTGAGTATTAGCCAAAAAAGTCCACTCTACGCAGCTACTGTCCAACAGTTTTTTGGTCTTTTAACTGGTCACAGTTTGAGTAGTCAAGCTCYGATGCACATGTCACGTTTCACGAGCACCCAGGCTATCCTCACGAGAATTGAACTTGTTGACCAGACAATGGCTATAGATATGAATACAGAACTGCTGCAAGTATTAATAACATTAGTAGTTAACTGACTTTTGGTCAAAAATATAGTGTAGTTAATCGACTTTTGAGCCAAAAATTTGTAGTTAACTGACTTTTGGGTACCCCCATTGATGTCCTCTTAAACAAGCTTGTAAGCTGTAAGGCTTTGTATATTACTTATAAGCCTAAGTCTAGTAAATGTATGTCAGTGGTAGATCCAGAATATTAAGGTGACTAACTAAAACAAAAAACAAAACAAAAAACATTTAGTATATATATTTTTTAAGTTAAGGTTATATACTATGGCTATCTGGATAATGAGCTTTCTTTCTGACATAAATAAAACCATACCAGTTAAAACAATTAGACCTCTCGGCCTTGTGGCCATACGAACTACCCTGCGAGCAGAGGAATTTTTCCACTATTTTCTGTTCGCAGGGTAAATACGAACTAACTAAAAGATCTAAAACAGAGACTCTGTATGTAGTCTCTAGTACGATTATATTGCTAAAAATTTAAATTAGACCCCAAGTAGCGTAGCCAATAAGAATGTAAAATTTGAAATATTTTACCCTGCGAGCAGAGGATGATTTTTCCATCGATCAATATCTATTCTTACTAATATGATTTATAATCCAATATGGTCTACCTCGGTTAGTTTTTATTTTTCTATTTTAGGCCATGTATATAATACAAATAAATTGAATTGAGTTGTTTTAAATACCGAACATCTGATCATTTCAGCTCGCTATTTGGTCCACTACAGTGACTGGACCATTGTATCAGCCTTTTCTCCAGAGTATCTTCAGCCATTTGGAACACTTCAATCATATGCTGATGGAGTRATTGGAAATAGCACAGGAATCCCATATTTCTACATTTCAAAGTTCTCAGATACTTAYAAGAACATTGAATACAACAATACTGTTGCAGTKACTGTTACGGAGAATGAGAGTGAGCTTTGTAAGCAGCAAGGTTATGATCCAGAAGAACCTGTCTGCTCTAGAGTAACTATCACAGGAGAGGTGCATAATTATATTTGCTTGACCTGCTGATCAAAASAAAGCACTTACATTTATAGAATTTAAAATTCATGCCAAAATTATTACCAAARTTAATTTGCAATTAATATGATTTCTTTGCAAATTGTAGTTTCAGAATGTATTCATATTTGATCCGAGTCCACCAATTACTGTTTTCTCAAAATGTTTATATTTATACTGCACTACAATCAAGAATTAGGGATCTTCTTTACAATTGCTTGTTACCGGGATAAAAAAAGCTTAAWGTCCYGAGTTTCTAACTATTMAATTAYTATTATTATTATTTAGGTAGTAGCTGTAACTGATTCCAAAGAACTTGCCTTTGCTAAGGTTGCACTTTTTACAAGGCATCCTGCAATGAAAGGCTGGCCAAGTAGCCATGGTATGTGTTCTACATCATTTTATTTACTTTATTTCCAAAGGTTTTCTTCTCTCTTTTAACCTTAAAAACATTTCCTCAACAACAAAGCCAAAATTGTGCTGCTTTTAAAATCGAATTTTAAAATTACAGTATGKTTTTGTTTCAGACTGGACTTTCTATAAACTGGTACCAACGCATGTTCATCTACTAGATTTCTATGGAGGAGCTTCTCATGTTCCTCTCAATGAGTATTTCCAAGCTAAACCATGAAACTAGACAAACACTAGTATATTATATTCTATAACATTAGTCTGTATGTGTGTTTATCCTCTAAGCTATTGTTTTCAATCATTCCCATAAAAGATGGGCAGACATGTTGGATGAATGAACAATAGATACTGATGAGAAAAATGTTGTTGAAGTTCATCCAAGATAGTTTCTTTGACGTAATTATTGTAAATGAAGAATAGAGCACAAGCAGAAAAAAACGTTTTTATAGCATTAATATAATTATCTAACGTATATAGCACAGCAAATATATTTGGGCAGTCTAAGAGAATCACTGACCTTAAAATTAGATAAATAAAAGCAACTCTGTTTATATAATAATCATAAAAAGATTTCACATTCGAAGGAGAAAGTGAAATTGGAACACAAAAAATAAAGATAACTTGTGTTTAATTTAATAGCAGTATACTTAAAAGTTAATTAGCGCATGTACCGAGGTGTGTTAGACAAAGTGTGCCGTATCTTTATAGTAGAGTGAAATAGATACTACACTTTTACACCTTGCAGTATGCTCCTATTGCATTGTTTTCTTTTTTGTCTATTTGAATATCACACTTTYGTAGTCAAATTTTGTTTCAAGGATGAAATGCCTTCACTCTTTGCATGGGCATCACCATTATTCATAGAACTTGGTTTTCAAAAGACTATGAAACAAAGTCCGCTAATTATAGTGTTATAATAATTTTCAATAGTCAATAAAATACAAAACACCAAATGAGAATTTTCAAATAATTTTCAAAAGGGTGTATTGCTTGGTTTAGTAAAAGTATTGCAAATTATATTGAAAAAAAAAATAGATAGGCACTTTTTTAACACTAAACATAACAAATATAATACCAAATGTAGTACCAAAATTATATTTTATGCTTTTTAGGGAGGGATATTTTGTTATATKTTTATGCACTTTAATGTATCTTTTCACAAATCAATTATTATAAAAATACAATCAATTCAATTAAGTGTCTGTGTCTTTTATTTCTTGGTGCAGAAATTGATCAATATCAAATACTTCATCTGTGTTGTCATCTGATAAAGGTTCACTAAATTCTGGATATGCTAACTGTAAACAACAAATAAAGAGGGACACAATTATGGTTCAGATTTTTARCAATCTTGTACCCCGAGMCTTCRTTTTCCTGGCCAGCRCCGAAAATGTATGTTTGTCATATGTGTTTGTCGACAGCRCTGGCCAAGAAAAACGATGGCTTGGGGTACRAGATTGGATTTTTAGCAACTGCAGACATGATATTGATTTCTATATTCTATTTCACATAGATCTCAAAAACTTTTAAGAGCCACTGGCTTGGTCAATGGATCAGCAGTGACTGTTAAGCCGATGAGTCAGTAAAATATAAAATCTCATGCACTGCAGCTCCTACAAACCAATAAGTCAAAGATCTCCCATCCAAAAATAACTGAAAAGCTGCTGAGCCACTCAATATACTACTAAACTGGCAAGCCAATGCAATGGGTCAGTAAACCTCAATGTGTTAAGCGGCGTTTACACGAGCAATTTTTCCTTGACAAGGAAAACTTGTTGACCATTCACACGGGCAATTTTCCTTGTCAAGGAAAACTTGTTCTTCATTTACAATAGCAAAGAAACATTGTAAAGGAAAACTTGTTAACCATGTCAAGAAACTTGTCAAGGAAAAATTGCTCGTGTAAACGCCGCTTTATTTGTTACTTTCAAAATATGAAATTACAATGTCAAGCCAATGAGCCACTTGAAACAACAGTTTTTGGGCACTATTAACAACTCACCTCTTCTGATGAAGGAAATTCTGTAGTAAAATATTGCGAAGCATGACTCAGTGCTTCGTCTTCACTCATTCCTTGAGAGACAAACTCTTGACATTTCTCTACAAACCTTGCAACCACAAATATAATAAAAATACATTCTTAAACTTAAATCAATAAAAAAATATATATAAACTTATATAATACATAAATTTACCTTTCGCAGTCTGTTGATGACTGTTGAACTCCTTCTTTCAAGTTCAAGACACCGTATGTTTGATATGTGGAGTAAAATTTTCTATTGATATTAAACGTAAGCTTAAGTTAACTTAAGCTTAATTACAAATTAAAATATTTTTAAAAATCATGATGCATGTGATGTCAAAGTGCACCTTTTGAACTGAGCAAACGAAATCTTCAGTGAGCAAAAATAAGATTATCACCATTTACTTGTGAATATCATAAATACCTTCTAAAGAAATCTTCGGGATATTCTAGCTTTTTTACCCGTCCAGGTTCTGGCTTTCTGTTGATTTTTGTGGGTAGGAGTGGAGGAAAAGTTTCCATCACGTCGAACCATACAGGTTTGTCTTGTATTGCTCCTGAACGGAGTAAGTTTGATACTCTAAAGAAAACGTTAAGACTTAAATAGTATTTTTTTAAATTCGGAACGTCAAGATCTTCCAAAATTTACCTTGTGAAAATTGTACCCCGAAGATGTCGAGCTCCCGCCATTTTGAATTTATGTGGATGTCAGCTGACCAAAGCCTTGCACTCGACAAAGGAAGCCCAAATACAAACCGATATTTGGGCTAYTATTCGAGGAAGCTTCGAGACCGAGACGACGGCGTCGTCTGGGTAAGTATAGTCGAAGAATCTGCTTATAATATMGCATTTACGATATTATAGTATCTTAACCTAATTTTTTAAATATAATGAGGAACATCTTGGGTTTTAGATGAAATTTCTTTTAATTGAAAGGTAGTTGTTATTGTTGTCGGAAGGCAGCGCCCGACTGATAGACTGTTTGAGGAAGCGCTGTTATTTTCTCGACGAATCTCGCTTAAGATGGAACTGGAAATACACCTTAGAAGTCTTGATATGTTAAATTGTAGTTTGTACAGGAAAAAATATCACAATTTTGAGAGTGCTGAGAAAAATAAGAAGAACACTATGTTGTAGTTTGAAATAATTTTATTCAATTTTAACACTTTTATTGAAGTTTTCGTTTTTCACTGCCAAGTCCGGTGCTTGGGCTACCTGTGTCCAAAATTGTTATGAAACATTTAATTTCGACTACAAATACTGTTTCCCTCGGTTCCAGTAAATAAGTGTTAAATAATACACGGAAAACTGTTTTTTATTCCTTTAAAGAGTACACGTAAGATTTTAAGCAACGCAAAAAAAGAAAAGCGCGCGAGGAAACAGTAATACAGCGCGAGCTGTTTACAATAGATAAAATGTAGAATGAATGTAAAATGAAATGAAAAGAAATGACAGTGAAACAGGTTAGATGTAGATATGTTACAATAAACTTAAATGAACTTAAATAATGGTTTTTACCATAACTTGTAGAATTCTCGCGCACCGATTGGCCGAGAGCCGTTGTCGATCCTAGGACAGACCGATGAAATGACGAATCGCTCGCGCACGATTTTGTATTGAAAGTTTTACTTTGTTCTCGGCCTTGTTATGGTAAAAAACAAATCGAATTCGCTTTTCTATGGTCTGTACGCTTATCGACAATGAAAATGGCGTCAGAAAATGATCAAAACTCAAGTGGACCCACGAGCGTAGTATGTTTAATGTAAGGTGTTAGCATGCTCTGATACCTATGCATACGATATATTCGACATCTGGCCCATTTGCTATATTATGAGGTATTMTTACTCTCGAGATCGTGCTTTTAAACAAAACAGAGTGTTGGTAAGTATAGTAAAGGATCTTCTCAAAATATYGCATTTACAAGTATCTCAACTTGAGATTTTAAAATATGATGAACAACTTGGGTCTAGATCACAATATTCTTCATTGAAAGTGTAGAATGAGAACGTATAATTGGTTTCAGCTGTTGTCGAAAGGCAGCGCGCCCGTCTCAGTGAGTAATCGTCGTTATTTTCTCGACGAATCTAACTTTAGATAGAACTTCTACTAGTTGAAAATACCCTGAAATGAAATAGATCTTTAATATAGAAGTCTTTAATATGTTATGGACTGATTATAATTTGTACAGGAAGGTATTACAATTTCGATAACTCAGTTTGAATACAATGTCCGCCATCCATATGCTAATTCATTTCTCCAACTATTAATATTTAAAAACAAAAATGAGTTTTTTGAATTAATTTTATCAGTATTGTATTTTGTTTTCTTTTCAGTCATGACATCTTAGGCTCCTCGCAGCTGGTTTCCGGTGTCTTCTCTTTATCTAGAATGGCCCGTATATAATATTAGAAACATATTGAAGGATGGATAAAGAAGAACGGTACGATCACTGAAATAATAACGAAGTAAAGCAAATTATGCTCATACATGTGTACAGTAATCTAGCTAGGCTAGTGCTTTGTTTCAATGTGTCCGGTAATTGGCTGCAGTCAGTACCGTCATCCATGCTACAAGCACGGCATCCGATGCGATGCGGAAAAAAAATATTGAATTTGCTTAAAAACAAGGTTACAGCGCTATTCTGCAGATACACGCACGAAATCACAAAAAATTTAAACAACAGAACAACAACCTTTTGGTGGATGTCAATCAGTGCATTATATCAATATAAATATTCAAATTCCTTATTGTAAGGCCTTTAAAACGACACCGGTCCGACACGAGTAAGGGACTGTGCAATAATTACCAGTAGGGGTAGGGAGGGGGGGGGGGGGGGTCATTACATAAAATTGATGTCAAGATAGGGGGGCTCAAAGTAAAATTACCTAATTAGCAAGGGGGGTCTTCAGTTTTATTCAAAATTTTCTTCATTCAAAATTTTCATTATTTTCTTTATTTTTAATTCAACGTAGATTTATATAACAGCCATAATTGTAGAAAATGACCAAGACAACTTTAATTGACAATTGATATGATATTGATATTACTTTTTCAGTTTTAAGAAGCTTTATCAACAACAATGATAATTTTAATCTGCTAGCTAAAGGTTATCTTTTTTATGAAAAACGCACTAATAGAAATCTAAATTCAAAGACTCGTTGATGTGGGATTGAAATTGACCAAGATATGAATTTTTTTCAACTATTGATTTTTTCAATTTTATCGCATAAATTGAAGATGTAGAAGCTGAAATGAACATCTTGATGATTTATTAGACATAACAAGCACAAGTAACATCAAAGCAGTTTTTGACCATAAAAACGTTACATAAGCCWTTTTTGGACCTTGAAAACATACAAGAACAGTTATTTAGCAGAACAGACCCCGTCAGCTCCTCCTGAAAGTTTTTGTCTTTACACTTAGGTACAGATGAGTAAGCAACCTCTTGCATCTAGCTGGGTTCGACTTTAGTGAAGTTTCCGTTGCTACAGTTGACTCGACTCGCCTGTGCTTGTTTTATAAGTATTGTTTAAAGTCCGACAATGAGGACTGGACGGGGTTTCAAGTCTGCGCAATTAGTTCCAGTCCAAGGCGTTAATTATTTGAGAGGGAAGAAAAGCGAAGGAAATTCATATAACAGAAATATTTTCATTTATTCATCTCCACCAAGGTTTTCAGTTTTCATAATTTTGAAAGCATGCCAATTTTGGATAAAGAAGCACCGTTTGTTGTTTTCCAATTCCCGAATGGCTTTCTGAAACAAAAGCGTTTCAAATTGTCTTTGTTTGCTTTTTATGGCATTCCTAATGAGCCTAATTCATAAGTTTTATAAGTATGTTATCTTCCAAGGAGTCGCATCAGAAACTTGGTGGTGTAATGGTATAAGACGGCGCATATAGATTGGACGGTTCGGGATCGTTTCGTGTGGGAGTCATTTATCAAAGACCTTTTTTCACTAAATTAGTTCTATATCTAAATTGATTATTTCTAATACTTCGATTATCATTAGCCAGTAGTAGTTAGAAAAAGCTAGAAGTAACAGTAAACAAGCTGGTGGAAGTAACTGGAAACAAGTTGGAAGTGTTGTTAATAGAACGAGAGTGCGTGTTTTATCGGGATATATAGGTTCGAGCCGCACTCTCGTTCTATAAACGACTTCTAGAACTCCAACATTCAGAAATTGTTATCATTTTAACATTTTAGAAAAAAAGCTAAAAAATGAGAAAACAGTGATAATGCATATTGAACTTCTAATGAGCATGTGCATTGTGCCACAATTGAAAGAATTTTGATCCCACACGTAAGAACGGCTAGTCTAGCTATAGTCGATGTCGGCACATTGATTCAAACTGATTTAAAACTATGGTGCGAYATTAAAASTGAGACCTTTGCAAGTGTTGGGTTGCGATAAAGCGCTGATGCACTTGATCAGTTCTTTATATCTGATATAGAACTGATTAATAAAACATCAGTTCTATATGTCTGATATAGAACTGATTAATAAAACATCAGTACTTTATCGGATATAAAGGACCATCATGTGATCCAATAGTTAGATGCTCATTGGACTTATAGCTCATGAATTATTAATGAGTTCTAAAAGAAACTGGAAATAAGATAGAATACAAAGTAGGAGTACTTCCTCTGGTATCCAGTTACTGCACGTGGTACAAATTACAATCAGGGATTGGCTGGATAGACTGGATACCTCATGAATAATTAATTAATGAGTATGAGAACTAAGGTTAATAGTTGGGAGGGGGGGCATCGACGTTATTTCTAGTATAGCAGGGGGGTAAGAGCTATTTTCTTATGCTTCGGAGGGGGGGTTCTAGTTTTACGCCTCCCCTCCTGGTAATTATTGCATAGCCCCTAACGCGTTTCTAAGACGGCTGACATAGATGTCTTGTGTATATTGTATGCTGGGTCTGATCAACATTTATTGTTTATCGTAGGTAAATCAAAGGCCAAATGATYTAAATCAAAATAAAAAATATATAAAAATTAAAAATTAAAGTGAGTCGCAATTATAGCGAGTCTAGACTGTTAAATCTAATGAAATGCGCAAAGATAGGGTTTCTAGGTGAATTATTTGCAAATAGGCCTAAATTTTAATTCACCAAAGTTTTTAGCTGTGAGCACTTGCATTTTTGTGCCGGAGCCAAAAAATGGTTAATTTTTTGTTTATTATACAGGAATTACTGCTGCTTGGTATTACTGCTTAACAGAGTAGGCCCGGTAAAGTTACGCAAATTTTTCATAGATCAATGGAATTCTCTTGGTGGTTTTGTTCCATGGAGTGACTGTCATCAGARTGGTGTGGACTTGCTGACTAAGTACAAACCACTTGATTATGAAAAAGACAAAGTCCGGTCTGGTGACACTACCACATGGGATTTATCTCTCTTTGTCAAAGTTCTACTGAAGTCCACACCTCCGTTTGTGATCGACAAAGATTTAGTTGATGGCTTGAATTCKTTGAAGGAAACAAGAAACACGCTTTGCCACACAGCAAATGGCAAGATTAAATCTGCTGAGTTTACTCAACTTTATAGYGATGCATGCAGTGCATTATTGTTAGTGGGTGCGTCAACTGAGGAATTCAAGAAGATTGAGGATGGTATGTCATCGAAGCGTATCTTAACGATATAATTCTGCAATGAATGAAAATAGTTCTACAAATCAGATGTCAAAATCTTCATGAAATGTATTGTTCGTTTTAAAATATTGATGTAATGAATCACTTCAACCTTCAATTAATTTTATTTTAACACTATTTTCTATTTTTATTATTAGATGTTAAGAATCTGGYATGGAATGAGCTGTTTTCTCTGGTTGAGAAGTGTGCAGATCAAGAAAGAGATATTCAACAAGGACTGGGTACAAGTAAGTAATTGTAAGATTAGATTCAAAACATACATACTTTTTGCAATTTGTGTACTTATAAGGGACTGCGCAATATTTATCAGGAGCGGGAGGAAGTGAGGATGCAGATGGGGGGGGCGCAAAATCTAATTTTATGTGCTCATTTTGTGGGCTCCTGGAAACGTCTAAAATTAACTAGAACTTTAATTTGAAACTGAAAAATCAACTGTGACAGATTCGAAGAACTTCTCACGAAAAGCGTGCCACGATTTGCGCCAAGTCTTTATTTACGAATAATAAATAAATAAATGCGTGATTTGTTTCGTTTGCGAGGTGGGTATAGTAGTAATTAACTTTTTTGATTTTTTGGCTCATTTCTCAACCCCCCTTCCTGATAAATATTGAGCTGTCTCTAAAGACAAATGGAGATTATATGAATAATCTATGCGTATTTTTTGCTGGCTTAGTAAGCAGCAGACTGGGTGAGTTAAAAAAAGCACATGAGAAGCTCTCGGAAGGCCAATCAGGTTTACAAGAAGAAGTGAAGGTTCTTAAACAAGGTTAGTTAGGTGTTGGTTACTCCTCCGTATAACGCAAACCATGAAAAGATTCAGTATAAACACAATAAAAATGCATTTTAAACTGAATAGCGTTTAATGATATTTTATATGAATTTCTTCATATTGTTTAGTCTTCCAGAAAGGATTTGACGACCAAAAGCAAGATAAAAAGGAGGTTCTAACAGAAATTGAAAACTTACACAGACTATCAAAATCCTTAGTCTCAGTGTCAAGTGAAGKTTAGTAMTTTTTCGGCTAGRGAGTATTGCATGCAAGATAGCTTAAGATATATCCCTTTTGTAACGATCATGGACTATAAAATTGGTMATTTTTTCTTCTTTTCTTCTTTGTCAGATCTGGAGTTGTATTCCGTTAATCTGAAGGAAGCGATAACACGGCGAACAGATTTCATGCCGAAAAAAATAGATCAAACTACTGTGAAAACCGACGATATTTTCACRAATTTGACTCTTCACCATGGAGAACYAAAAGAAAGCMTTCGCCAAARCAGAGCTCAGAACGTCKATCAGCGTGCTCGTAAAACGGTGACAAAAATAAAGCAGTGCTGTGARATTTTTGTTGACGATARCGGAGGAAAGAATCCSAAGTCAATTTTGGTCTCTGGTGAACCGGGTATCGGAAAAACWCTGTTTTCTCAGAAAATCATGAGAGACTGGTCAACGGATATCTTATCGATACCTGAAATCGAGTTCACTTACATCATAACATTTAGACAACTTGGTCTGCTTGGCAACAAAGAGCTCACTCTCCAAGAACTGCTGAATCAATCCCCTCTACTGAACGAAAAGACCATGGTAACCGAGGAAATCATGGCGTACATTATCCAGCATCCAGAGAAAATACTTGTTGTTCTTGATGGCTTTGATGAATACAAAGACCGCAACAGTGTAACCAGTGACTTTGAAGAGKACTTTCCTAATGATTTAAAAATCAAGATGCCAGTAGCTGCCCTGGTCAGCAAACTAATTCAAAAAAAGGTCTTGAGCGATTCTCTCACCATGATCACATCAAGACCTAGYGAAGCCGACGCCTTGGACCAAAAGATCCATTTTCAGCGCTATGTCGAGATTACGGGATTCTCAAAATCCCAGGTCATTGACTATGTTGAAAGGTATTTCAAATGTAAACCAGAAAAAGTAAGAAAGATGGCAGTCAGCAAAGTTAAAGGATCACCGCACCACATATCATTTGGTCGCGCGCCATTCCGTTGTTTTCTAATGTGCATCTTCATCGAGTGGGAACTGGAAATCAACACCAAACGCAATGATTCAGATAATCAAATATCGGACGAATGCACAGAGAATTTCAAACGCAATGATTCAGCTCCTGCAACACTTACATTGTTTTATCAGAAAGTTATCAAATGCATCGAAAGAAATTATAATAGAGCAATACGTAGTTTAGATGAAAAAGCAGCTTTGGTGGCTGTTGGCCAAACACTCGATAATTTTGCTCAATTAGCGGCAGATCTAGCTCAGCAAAATAGATTTTGTTTTACATCAGAAGATTTAAATAATTTTGACTCAAGAGAAAAGGAATTTCTAGTTTCTAGCAGTCTTATATCTTGCTTTCCAGTTTCCAGTAATTTGCCTTTTCAAAAACCAACTTGTGAATATAACTTCGCACACTACACAATTCAAGAATTTTTTGTTGCTTGGTATTTTGTGAAGAAGGGTGTAATGGCGGCACAAGAAAGCACTGAAATGGTGTACACATTCATGAGTGGATTGTTAGGTTTAAATGGCACTGACAAATCTGACAAATTAATGTTAGAACTACTAAAGTGTCTAGGGAAACATGCGAGAAGTGAAAATAGGYTAAGGTTAGCCTCATTGAGATGCCTTTACGAATATGGCCGAGACAAAMGTTTGGCAAGGCAAGTCCTGACTGAAAACCGTGACAACAGATATTGGAATATTTATGGATGGATTGGATTAGGTWACGTAGCCGACTCGGATTGTGGTGCGATCGCTATGTTGGTAGAATCCACTGCTACATCATCAACCACATCACCACCACACAGACTGGACATTGATGACTCATCGCTAACCTGCTATGGATTAGACATTTTGCTACCATCTCTTAGTTCACCATACTGTAAAATAACGGAACTGTCGCTGATAGCTGMATTGGATGATAATGGTGCAATGTATTTGAGTCAACATTTGCCAAAAACCAAGTTGACTGASCTGAACCTGTACGGTAATAAAACAATATCTGATGATGGATGGAATCACATAGTGAATAGCTTACCCAGCAATCTACTCTGCTTAAATCTGAGTGGTAACAAAATATCCGATGCTGTAGTAAATCACATCGCGAACCGCTTACCAAACAGTCTAACCAAGTTGTACCTGTCTGATAATCAAATATCGGACGAATGCACAGAGAATTTCAAACAATTCTGTAAGGATAAATATCCTGGTCTTGCTTTAGTAATATAAATAAATMAATCTGGAAAGACACAAGTAAAAAATGCTAAAAAATCAAATTGGTACTGCATTAGAAAAAAGATATTTATTATCACTGCATGTATATTAACTTTTGAAGTTAAAACAATTAGTTTTCTCTCGTTTTTTRTTGTTGTCTTTTCTCACAGTTTGTTGAATATGTCCCTTGGGGATGATTTATAATACTTTTCTGTTCATGTTTAGGTTCGATGTTKCTCGTTTTTCATCGCGCACATCAACTTAGCACGCAACAAAAATCCTCTGTTGTGAATGAAGAAATCTCGCACGCTATTTGGTTGATTCTATTGCGCGCCAAGTTTCAATCTCGATGAAAAACSAGAAACAAAGCCAAAATTTGTACCGTGCCAAGTTGATTCCGCGATGAAAACGAGAAACATCGAACCTAAACATGAACAGAAAAAATGTTGCGCGCCAAGTTGATGGTTGACGGTACCGAAACGCGCGATACGACAAGTGTTGTATTCATCCAATCAGCAATCGAACTTACGGTTCGACAAACTACGGTAAATGCAAATCAATCCAATCAGATGTGAGCAGAATAAAATGCCAACAAATCAGAATCCATGAATACGATACAGCTACGATACAGTTACGGTACGGACGCGATTCGTCACCACCGTTTCCCAGTCATACGAAATCGCCTCTAACTTAAAAGTATTACATAAAAGTAATCAAAGTCGCAAGCCACAATTGGGGGTGTCAAAACCCTGACCCTTTTCCAGAGTAAACTCACTTTGAACCACACCCTGTCTGATGAGTAAYATGGACAGTTCAATTCAGTTAGAATTTTCTTTTGTCCGCCTTCTTCATCCATGTTATACCTCGGCCAAAATTGGAACTGATGAAACTTGCAGTGTAACGGGCCGCACTTTAGTCAAATTGAAACCCCCGACCCCCGTTAAATGCCTGGGAATTTAACGCTTGAGTGGTGTTAAAATAAGACATTCCCCCGGTGAGTTGGGGACATTATACTCCAGTTTCGAATTCAAAGCGAATAACCGCTGTTTTATTTGATAGCAGATTCTCTTWGTACGMAAAGAACTTACCAAACACAACAGAAAGCACGAGAAAATGTTGCCTGTACAATAGCGCTTACAATTTACATTTTCCCCGAGTTGAGGCTAACCCTGTATTCCCAGAAGGCTCATACCTTAGGTCTCATGGGAATACAGGGTTAGTCTCAACTCGGGGAAAATGCARATTTTCAAGTCTATTGTAATAACGACATTTCTCGTGCTCTCTTTTGTGTTTGTAAGGTCTTTGAGCAAGAGAATCTGTTGTCAAATAAAGCAGCGGTTTTGCGGTATGAATTCGAAACTGGAGTATTCACTCACGTTTTTCTACGATACACGGGTCAAATTTTTGTATAATCCTGTATACTCATTTGCGTACTACACGAGGCAGAGTGGTCGGAGTTAAGCATGCATAATAAGTTTCTTTTAACTTTTCATGCAAGGAAAAATAAAAAAATGCAAAAACAGGGTTGAATACCAATGCTTTTTATGTTATCTTTCAAGATGGACGACCTCTAGTTTCCAGAATCAAACACATATACATGTTCAAACAAGCCGTTAACCCTATTCAGACTGGTTATTTTTTTCAATCATTGACTGGGGGAAGGGGGGCTCATTCGCCCCCCCTCAATATCTTCGGAACCAATACGTCTATGAGCATGAAATTTTCACACAATGGTCGCCCACGTAAAACTAACCACCACACCCAGTCTTGACCCTTGGGAACCAAATGTGACGTCATAATGACGTCATTTTCACCATTTTAACGATTTATAATCCATTTTAATAAATTGCCTACAATTCCATAGAGAATGCTGCAATATCATCTGTTTATTATTGAAATGACTTGAAAATAATATTTTTGTATTTTTTAATTGACCCCTGTTCTATATGACGTCACAATGACGTCATAGATATCAGGTAATTTTTATAAATTATATATCTATATCTATATAACCAGTTAAATATCATATTTAGGCGTTACTGCTCTCCTGTGATGTTGTGGTTCGTTTTGTATCCATGGTAACAGTTGTGACGTCATAATTGTGATGACGTCATTTCCTATAGTGCCTTTGTCGTCTTTGAATAGTTTGACTCCAAATCTTAATATTTTTTTTGTCTACATCGTTTTTTATGGTAAAATTTACAATTTGAGAAGTTTTTGAAGTTAAACAATTTGGAACAAGCAATTTTGAGAAGAATATCCGCCATTTAGGATCCGCCATCTTGGACCGCCATCTTGAATTTTCTAAAATGCCATTAAAAAACTAAACATTGAGGCAAACAGCTCAAAATGTCTTAAATACTTCTCAAACTAACATTTAATGAATAAAAAAGTGAGTTTCGAAGTGTTACTGATGATTTTAATGAAATTTTCTCCCATGTGAAAAAATGACAGAAAACTACCCACCCCTCCCCCCAAAGTTTTTGTTGTCAAAAAGGTATTATGGTATTGTACAGTCAGCAATGGGAGCAAGCTCAAATAGGTAAAAGATGCATAATAAAACAAGAAATAAGCTTTAGAAATGAAAAATGAAGCTTATTTTACATTTTTGAAAACCTATGCGTCAAAAACTGGTTGCCATGGCGACATGGATGACGTTACCAACAACAAATTTACATCAAAATCTGCCCAGATACATTTTAGGAAAAGTCCGAAAGTTTCAGAGGTCTAGCTGTCTTGGTTCGAAAAGTTATTGGCTTTTTACGCGAGGGGGGGCTCAAAAGCCCCCCCCCCCAGTCTGAATAGGGTTAAATTCCCCGCTCTTTTCCCCCCATTCAAAACAATTCAAAATCCCGACCCCCCGGGGTAATAGTGTTGTTAAAATCACATTAAAAACACGTCATGCCTCAGTTCAGTGCACCGCTAGTCCCGGGGGTTKGGGGTAGTACACAACGTAGTACACAAGGTGTGTCAAAACGCCGTTGCAAGACAAGTATAACAGCGCCTTAAGGAAGAACATAAAAATCAACAACTAAAAAATACATAACTCAATCTATTCAAACATTTTAATGTTAATTTTAAAATGATTGTCTTCACTTTTTTCATATCTCATATATCACTTTGCCATCATCTACTCTTTGCGTTACATACAAATTTAAATGGTTGGATTGAAACTCATTTTGTGACAATTCCCTAGTTTTCATTTTACGATGATTTTATCTTCTTYGTTTTCTTCTCTTCGTCGTATGCTCTTCTTTTCTTCTCAAGTTTACGAACCTATAGTAATAAGAACAGACAGTTTAATAATAGCGAGTAACCAATAACAATAGAATACAGTGGATTATCCGGTGCCAAATCAGGCATTTTTGATGGGAATCGGACACAGTTGCAAKACTGGTCTCCGTAGGCAACTCCAAGACAATCAAAGAGAAACAGTAAACAACAACAACAACTAAAACCAGTCTATCATTGCGTGGAATACTRGTTCCAGGCGCTGAATTATCGTTATTCTAATTCAGCCAGTTATTACCATATTACCATATACATGTATATAGAATGGTTTCCACCGGATTTAATTTTGAAGCATACAGYCTGACACTACAGTAGTAATCCCAATCCTTAGTCCGTAAAACAGACTTGCTTCATTTGTCGGATAACAATTTTTAGAAACTATATAATATTCAACAGTGATTGTTAACAACTCTTCTTACTTCTGTTCTCTTCTTCTTCTTAGAATGCATTATTTTCTCGTACAATCGTCGGTCTTTCCTGGGCATCGCTGCGACGGCCAATTCTTTTTCCTCTTTAGATATATTCATCTCTGGTGATTCATTTTCTGTAAACATSAAAAGAATGCAACTTCTYTTTTTATGTTTCCTAAAGATAGTTTACCAATCATTAAATATGGTTTGAGGAAAAGAAATTCAAAAATCGAAATGAATCCAAATTATTACAAATACCATCTCTTTTACCTGATGAAATAATAACTTTTGTTAATAAACAGCAGGACATAGTGGAATTTATTCAAAATTATTAGAYAATTCTTACTAGAAAATATAGGAAAAAAATACTAAACCTTACCGAGTAATTAAAATTTCAAATTTGTTGCGCAGAAATATCTTTTCTTCTAATAATTCAGTCGTGCTAACCTTCAGTTTTGTCTTGGTTTTCCTCATCAAGAATTGCTTGGCGTTCAGGGGGAACATAGTCTCCTTCTTGTTCTTGTACAAATGGTGACAAGTGAGGGGGAAGAACAGTCCCGATGAAGTAGTCTTCTACTGGCAAAAGTTTTGTTTGGTTGATACTGTCTGCTATCCATTGTGGTTGTACGTAATACCTAAACAAACAATTCGAAAGTCGTCCATACGTTTAAGGTCAAAAACTGGTACATAATTCTAGGACGGTAGATGTGGGGGGCATTTCAGTCGTGTGTGGTGAAATATATACAGCTGATTCAGTTTTGGTTCGAGTAAAATAGTCAAGAATAGAGAGTTTTAGATTCACGTTTACTGCAAACGCCAAACCTCAAATTGGCTTTTATGCTTTGTCTCAAAATTTCAAACAAACGTAAAAACGMTTCGAAAGGAATGGTGATGCGCTTATGCACGAAAAAGTGATCTACTTATCCACAATCGCGAAAAAACGCAGCGTTAATACAGAAAAACAGTAATCACGTGATAAGTTTTTACGTTTGGCGTTCGCGTTCTCTATATCAGGTTTGTTTTAGTGGAGAAATAAAAATTCTATATGGATATTAGAGAATGTTCCACTGCTGAAACTTTTTGTCTCACTTTACATTTAGGAATGCAGACAGGGGGCAGATACATAAMATTTTTAAGGGGGATGGAAAAATCTACCAAAGAAAGTTGCGCAATATTAGCTATTAGTCTATTTTCAATAGTCCTTGACTAGCAAAAAGCGACAACCTTTTGCATATCTTTAGCAATAAAAACATTTAGTTATTTATATATTTCATTCTTTTTTTGTCCAACTAGTATGATAATACTAAAACAATTAGATCTCTTGGCCTCATGGACTATGAGCTGATAGCCCATTCGACCTTCGGCCTCAATTGGGCTGTCAGCTCGTAGTCCACTCGCCTCGAGATCGCTTCGTGAAAAACAGATCCTTCAACGGAAGAAGGACTTACACAGAGGGAGATAACGGATAACAAAAAAGGATAAGAATAAAACCATTTTTTTAAATTATTATTCAAAAATAGTCTATTTTAAAAATTTTAAGGGTCACACTGTGGGATGGAAATCCACTCCCCCTGTATCCGTCCCAGGTAGAGGCAACACTATATGCAAGTGTCAAGTTTTTGCAAGGTACACATGACAATCACTTGGCAAATAGTCATAGTACGGACAGAGGTTGATCATAACAAGATCACAGGTTGAGCAAGAGTGACTTGTCCATACCTTGATAAATATTTATGACCTTGCACTGGTCTGTCAATTATTTGATGTGTGATTGTTTCATCTGTCTCTGAATATGTTGCTCCTATAGCAATTGTACTGTCCCATGATGCTTCACCACCAAATGACCTATCATCATCAAGAAAAGATGTAAAAACCAAACCCTGATGAAGTGCAATATTAATACATGTAGCGATAGACAGCTGTCAGACCGCAAGTAAAAGCAACAGCATATTCAGTTTTGTTTAAAAGGAGCTTGCAGAGCAACACAAATGTATAACTGCCGTGCTCATTCCTGGGAGCAAATAAACTTACCTGATCATAAACACAATAACCTCCCTTGGCACTTCTCTTGATAAGAAGAATTTGCAGTCTTTAAAAAGGTTCTTAAAGTTTTCTAGCTTTTCAGCTTCAAGTTTTGATGCTTGTAATGCTTCTGCATCATCACTCTGGATGAGACCAAAGTTAATGTCAAGAATAGGTAAACAAATACATCTAACCGAACGTTGTACATTGTACCTCAGGATCGACTGGAAATTCATCAACTTCCGGTTCTTCTTCAAAGCCTGATGAAGAACAACACTATTCATATATGAACACTGGATGTAAATCAAAGATTACTCCTTTCTCACCTTGTGTAGACTGCAGACTGTGAGTTAATGCTGCAAGAACCTGAAACAATTTAAAACAGGCATGTCGGAATTATGCGAGAAAAAAATCAAAATTATGCGGAATTTTTTCCCCATATTATGC